TAAATCTAACTGTCATAAATATTTTAAATGTTGTTTATGAAAAAAAATTTTTTTTAAATATAACTATATCTAAAAAAATTGCTTAACTATTGAAATATTTATAAAGATTTAATACACCCAAGTCCCTATTTAACCCTAGTTTATGTGTATTTAATTTTAAAATCCAATATGTTTCTTTTTTCTGCGTGTGTATGTGGAACTAAAATCGGAATCTATCAATAAACATTTGCAGTTTTCTAATGTGTGTCCTGATTGATTGAAGTGCTTAGCTATATATATATATATATATATATATATACAGCACGTGTTGACCCAAGTTGAACGATTTTGGGAAGCTTCGATTGTCATCGTTACTGAGGGTTTGAGCGTACTCGCCTTGTTCAGACTGTTGATCAGACCAGATAATGTGGGTCCCTAAAAGAACTAAAGTCCACTCAACATAGTTGGCTCATAAACAACAGGTCGGTTCTATGGGAGATGAAAAAATGCTTCAACAGGTATCTGCAATATGAATTGTCTAGGCGCCCTAGTAGATAAGCAAACACGGATTAGAACAACCAAAAAACATATATATATATATATATATATATATATATATATATATTCTGTGTGTAGTTAGGCAGCATTTTTTCATTGATATATGTTTCATTAAATAATATAGACAAGTGTTGTCTATTTATTTTATGTAAATTCTTTTCATATCGTCTGATAAGCTTAATAACATTATCATTAAACGAAGAAAGAAAATCACAATATTGATACATATTTTTTTAATCCAATCTTAGCTTTCCGCTTACGTAAGCCATTCTCAAAGATAATAATAATATCAATTACTGTACAATATATTAAGCAATACACGGACAAGAATATGATGATAGTCTGTTTCTGTTTACAGGGATGATTTCCAAGCAACGATAAACACGTGCATATAAGACGCTGGAAGCGAAAATCGCGTCGCAGCTCGTGACGTCACACATGACCACGCGAGAGTGAATTCGAGAAGTATTAAGTATGGGAAGCCGTTGGCTTCTGTTATCAATTATAGACATTTAAGAATATTTGTGGAGATTTCATAGTTTATTTTGTTCAGGTTAGGTTTCAACTGTTTTATGTATATAGCATCTAGAATTTTTAGTTTTTGTTTATTGTTTTCATGTTTAAGTATAGTTGTGTTAGTCGTTGCTTTGAAATTTTTCATGCAACAAAAACAGACTATCATTATTGTTTCGTCCGTGTATTGGTTGATATATTGAAAAGTAATTGTCATCTTTGATAATGGCTTATGTAAGCCGAAAGCTTAGATTGGATTTAAACATGTATCAATATGGTGATTTCCTTTCGTCTTTCAATGATAATGTTATTAAGATTATCAAAAATATGAAAAGAACTTACTTAAAATAAATAGACAAAACTTGTCTATATTATTTAGTAAAACATGCATTAATGAAAAATTGCTTATTAAATATACACAATATATATATATATATATATATATATATATAGATAGATAGATAGATAGATAGTTTATGAAAAACTAGGTAATCTGTATGGGTAAACCTAAGGAAGATATAATCCAGAGAGCTCAATGTAAATCCAGAGCAAATAATTTAAATAAAAACAGACCACTTTAAGATTCCATGTAATAAATTATTTCGCCACACCCTTTTAAAAGGACTGCGGATCATCAGACTTTACTTCCAAACAAAAAAATGAAAAGAAAATTTACACATTTTTGACGGACCGTATTAAACATAAAGTGAGGAAGTGAGGGGGGAGAGTTTTTTTCTTCTCTACCCCTTCAATTTCAATATATAACTTCCGTTAAGTTAACCGTTTAAATGTGTCAATATCTGCTAACTCACTCATGTCTTCTCTCTCTCCCCCCTCACTTCTTCACTTCGTTAATTTACATATGTCTGATGATCCGCAGTGCTTTTAAAAGGCTGTGGTGAAATAAATTAATTATTAATTAATTATATATATATATATATATATATATATATATATATATATATATATATATATATAAATTCATGCTTGTGTCTCTGTGTCTGTATGTGTGCGTGTGTTTAGACCTTTCTTGTGTCTTTAAATATAATTACCTATCCAGTGTCTAATACAAACCGCCTGCCGATTTTTGTATATGAGATGATGTAAAATTAGCGAACAGAGTAATATAATCTTACGCAATAAAAAAAAAATTGATGCTTTGTCATTTGGTCAGATTTCGGGCATCAGGATATCGATAAAATGTAAATAGACAATTACAAACAGCGTTTAGTAATATCTTGAGAATTGACCTTAGAAATCTCCAATCCATTGCGTCAAATTTTGACTTCCCCTCTCCAAGTTTTGAATATAGGCTAGTTGATCGTTCAAGGTGATGGAATATCCAACAACCGTTTCCTCTTTATCTTCAAGGCGACATATATGAAAGTGTTCTCGTCGTTTTAGTCATGTTTTAACACAGTCGCGTAATCGGAGATCAAATCTGCGTTGAGTCCGTTTGTCTTAACCTGAAGGAAACGCGAGTTCAAAGCTGATCGAGGGTTAAGTTACTCAAAAGTCGTGAACTGTTCGCTTAGTGTCAATAAAATAAAATTCATTGTTGCGGAAAGATGACGAACGACATTTGATTGGAAGAAAATGGCGGTCAAAGGGGATTTTTAGTTGAGTTCAAAGTTCAAGAAGACAAAGGAAAAAAAAAAGCCAGCAAAGATATTTGACTGTGATTCAATCTTTCAGGTAAGACAGGGAGATACGTTATCATTTGAACCAACTGAGATAGACATAAGTTCATAGAGTTTATAGAGTCAGGGAAATGAAGGGGAAGATATAGAATGACACACATAGAAAGGGGGAGGGAGAGAGTGAGTGAGTGAGTGAGTGAGTGAGACGGGTTGGGTTGGATGATTTTAGAACGTCAAGACTTATTGGGTAATTCAATGTCGAATTTTTGTACGGTGTAGGCAGTGAGGATCGAACTCACTCTTCAGTTTTAAGGTTCATACAGACGAACATCGGTAAACATTACGCAACAAGATACTAAATAGATTGATACAAACAGGTTGAGATAGATAGATAGATAGATAGATAGATAGATAGATAGATAGATAGATAGATATCAACAGAGTGAGATAGATAGATAGATAGATAGATAGATAGATAGATAGATAGATAGATTGTGATAGATAGATATGATCAACTAAGATACATAGATAATTATTAACAGACTGAGATAGATAGATAGATAGATAGATAGATAGATAGATAGATAGATAGATATCAACAGAGTGATATAGATATATAGAGAAAGATATGAATAGATAGATAGATAGATAGATAGATAGATAGATAGATAGATATGAACAGACTGAGATAGATAGATAGATAGATATGAACAGACTGAGATAGATAGATAGATAGATAGATAGATAGATAGATAGATAGATAGATAGATAGATAGATAGCGACTGTCCAAGAGAAGAAGTAAATGAAGAAGCCAGCATTAAAACGGAACAAGAAAATCACCCTTAAATCAAATGCGAATGTCACAATTAAGGCCTGGATCTCAGCCTTCTTTGTAGTTGGATCTGCTAATTACGATTGGCTAAACTCTATTAACGGCCAGGAAGCAGGCCGTGATTAAAAGTTGATGCGGATACTAAATATCAAATGAAGGAAGCTACTAATGGCGATAATATGCAAGGGAGATAACTGGGGTATCAAAGTGTGCGTAAGAAAGATTTCGCAAAATACACAAGAGAACGATTCCAAGAACTGTGACAAACAACTTTCGCGTTTTAACTCTAAAAATGTCTTCATGCACTTGAAGAATATTGGTCTGTGTGACACAATGCTTGAAGGATGATTACAAGAAGATCATTTTAAATACCTTAAATTATGGCGGACAAAACGAGTTTCCAAATAAATTAATTAATTAACAAAATAACATAAAATTAATCAAGTAATAAAACAAATGAATGGTATTGTCTTTTGTGCGGCCTCGATTCCCATGACGTTCGTATGACGTCACCTTGACCATTTCAAACGTTCAACTTTCCAAAGAATACCTTGATGAAAACAACGGAATTCGACCAATCACAGAGACACAACATCGGTTCTTGTTAATCACTCAAAAGTACTTGAACGAAAATAAGATATGAATTTCGAACAGTTTATCCACAACTTCGAACACGAAACTTATACCAAACCTTAACCAAGTATTGGAAAAATACAATGAAAAATTAAACTGACAGACATTGTCGTTCCTTTTTAAAGAAAATTAGAAAAATAAGTGATATATCCTTGATAAAAGTAGACATTACCTACCAACTCAATAACGATTACACTTGAAAAGAATTTAAATCAACTTAGTATAAAATTTGTTACATCAACTTAAAAAAACAATAAAAGATTTAATTCAAAATAATACAATATCTTAAAACCATGGAGCTGGAATTTCTATTATACAGGGTGAGATGTGTAGAGTGTCGCCATTTTATATTTTTAATATCACGCATGCGCGTTGTCGATTTTGTTGGGTACTGTCTGTCAGAAAAACAATAACCATGACGCAATCCACTCCGCCAGAAATTTGGAAACGACATGCAATACTGTTTAGCATTCGCACCGGAAGCTCCAATACAAAACAAAAGACACACACACACACACATATATATATATATATATATATATATATATATATATATATATATATATATATATTAATAATTAATATATATATAAATTTAAGACAGCCAACCTTATCCTCAAAAATAACAACGCACCAACTAAGTCAAAATTACAAAGAACGAACATTATCTATGAGTTCAAATGCCCTTTAAGGAACTGCGTTCCTCACCAAACCGGACTCATAAATAATTACATCGGCTACACAACCACATGCTTATCCAGACGTCTTACGTTATACCTATCTGATCACAGCTCCATTAGAACCCATTTAAACACACACACAAATTTACCCGACTCCATTAGGAACATACTAGTAGAAAACACAAATATATTAACTGCATCCACCTTCAAAAAATGACTAAAAATAATGGAAGCTTTAATAATAAAAAAGAAAAAGCCAACTCTTAACAATATTAACTACGAACAAAGCCACAATGTGCTAACCGTATTCGGAAATTAAAAACATCCCTACCACACACTAAGACATATACAGAACGCACACACTCAATTAAGCTGAAAAATCGAATCATCTTTGATAATGGCTAAAGGTATAGTCGAAAGCGCTCGGAAATATAAAACATGTGGACAGTTCTTACACACCCTTTATCCAGAAAAGAAAGCTCTTGTTAGAACACAAGAAAAATTAAATAAAAATCTTAACCGTAGTACCTTGTCTGTCGTTTTTAATGAAACATGCATAAAAGGAAGGATTGCTGCCTAAAATATACAACTATATATATATATATATATATATATATATATATATATATATATATATATATATATATATATATATTCATACACGTTTCATTAAGTAATATAGACAAGTGTTGTCTATTTTATGTAAATTCTTTTCATAACGTCTGATAAGTTTAATAACATTATCGTTGAACGAAGAAAGAAATTCACAATATCGATCCATATTTTTTTAATACAATCTCAGCTTTCGGCTTACTTAAGCCATTATCAAAGATGTAAATTACAAACATATTAAATAATATACGGACAAGACAGTGATGATAGTCTCTCAATGTTTACATAGATTATTTCTAAGCAACGATAAACACGTGCATATAAGACGCTAGAAGCGAAAATCGCACCGCATCTCATGACGTCACACATGACCACGCGAGAGTGAATTGGAGAAGTATGAAGTAAGGAAAGCCGTTGGTATAAACCAATGGCTTCTGTTACCAATTATAGACATTTAAGAATATTTGTAGAGATGTCATAATTGATTTTGTTTAGGTTGGGTTTTAACTGTTTGATGTATAATGCTTCAAGGATTTTTAGTTTTTGTCTATTGTTTTCATGTTGAAGTATAATTGTGTTTTCGACAAGTATTTTACGGAATTGTGTGTGCGGGCAGGCATGTTGTTTTAAATGCCTAAAATGTTAGAGTTTTCATTCAAATGTAGTGTCAAGCGTCGTGAAAGCGAGTTTGTGGTGTGACCAACATAAATATTATTTAATTCGTTGGAGATACAATCTTCCAAAGGGCACTTGAATTTATAAACTATAAATGTTGGTTTTTTGCAAATCGCTAACCGGGGGAGAAGAATCATTGCGAAGTATTAAGTTGGATATACTAGATTTAGTGATATACTAGATGTATATGATTAATTTAATTTTTTTTGCTAGGATCTGTTGTTGATATATTAGTATTATATATATATATATATATATATATATATATATATATATATATATATATATATTATAAAATTCAGGAGGTCAGTTGAATCCGCTTTTTGGTTTATCAAATGGCTTCTTAACGCTTAAATGAATGAATGAACAAATGCACGAGGTTGGGTGTAATAGGAGGAGGGGGAGGATGGGAAGAAAGAAGGGGAGGAAGAAAGGGGAATAGAAGAAAAGCCAGGGTATTATAAATATATCGGTTAATTGAATTTGCCATTTTTTTTACCCAGCCTCATATGTGGAATTTTCTAACATGCAAGCAAGGACTCAGGACTTTGGATTTCTGGTTTAAAAGGTTCTTTGGATCCGGAAATTTCATAATTGCTAATTTTTTACCTTTTGGAAGAGGTTGCAAATATTGTTGTCGTTCTTATGAATCTTTGCCTTTTTCAAAATTTTTCAGTTTTCTTTTTCTTCTTCTCCTTCCTTTTCACACCTCCCTCCTCTCTTTCTGTTACACCCAACGTCGTTCTTTTAAAAATATATATATAGCGTTCATTGTTTTTTTGTCTTTTAAATAAAGCGTTAAAAGGTCATTTGATGAAAATCGGCCGAGGATACCATAAGTTTGAAACCAAGGTAGCCGATTCAACTGACCTCCTGATTTTTAAAGTTAAAAGCTCTACATGTTATTTTTATTTGTTATTTTTTTTTTCACACTTAAAATAATTGTCGGACTTTGTCCATTTCATAATGTGTGACGTCATTTTTTTTACATTTGGATACGCATTGAGCAGACATGAATGAATGAGAAAGAAACATGGCGAATTGTGTTTAAAAACAGTAAAATCGACCGTACTATCCGAACGCTGCTCTGTGGCCCAATCGGGTAAGGCACGTCAGGCTATAATACGGTTACGTATAGGATACAGGTTCGATTCCTGTCGGAGGATACATATTTTCTATGAAAATTTCTCGGACATTCAGGTCGGTAAATGATGTTAATACTGTTTATTATGAACAGAGCGTTTACTTAAATATTTGTATCTTTAAAAAAGAATGTATAAACATAAAAAAATGTCTTCATATATATATATATATATGCAGCAATATAGTTTTAAAGTGTGCTATATTTATGGAATAAAGTGCTCAATATCAGAGATAGAGCGTATGTAAATATAAATATAAAAGTGAACATTGAAGTCAACAGTCAGAAGCGGCAGGCTTTTTCACAGACGCATATATACACATATATATACATATATATATATATATATATATATATATATATATAAAGAGAAAATATATTCATCGGATTTAGTCCATTTCATAATATATATATATATATATATATATATATATATATATAGTGCAACCTCGGTTATCGAACGTCTCAAATGTCGAACAAATCGGTTCTTGAACAGAAAATTTAAGATGAAAATGCCTCGGTTTTCGAACAAAATTCGGTTCTCGAATAACGTTGCCGAACTAAGTTAAGATGAGCGGAATAATTTCTAAGCTGACCGCCATGTTGAATACATTTGTTTTGTCTGTTGTGTTGTGCTTTTTTTCCACAATTTTATTGTACTGTATTTTTTTTTCTTTGCATTGTTTCCTATTGGTAAAATAGTTTTGGTTTACGAAAATTTCGGGTTACGAACGGCCTTCAGTAACGAATTAAATTTGTGAAACGAGGTTCCCTATATATATATATATATATATATATATATATATATATATATGTTTATACATTCTTTTTATAGATACAAATATTTAAGTAAATGCTCTGTTTATAATAAACAGTATTAAACAACATTTACCGGCTTGAATGTCCGAGAAATTTTCATAGAAAATATTCGTCCTCCGACAGGAATCAAACCTGTATCCTATACGGAACCGTCATTTAGCTTGACGTGCCTTTACCGATTTGGCCACGAAGGAGCGTTCGGTTAACTTATATTTGTGTGTGTGTGTGTGTGTGCACGCGCGTGTGTGTGTATTGTGGGTGGGTGGGTGGAAGTGTTTTAACAAAGAACGGAAAATGTGTCACCAAACAACGAAAGATGCCTTCCAAAAGCTAAGAAAGTTATAAAGAAACAGGATAATCTCAGCAGGAACAAAGGAACGAATACGAAAGTGAAGCTGCTCTTCATTTCCTCACAAATGAATAGCA